ATGTCTAACTAATGTTTGAACGACTGAGGCATGTTCAAAGGGCCGGTGAAAGCCTCGATGATATGCGAGAGAATTTTTGCCAGTGCTTATGGCTCAAATTTACTAGAACGTTGATTCAACTTAATCCCTAGTGAACACGTCTGTTGACCCAATTAGGCGTTGGAAATCGTTGACGTCATCGATTTTCACCGCTCAAGATATCCCTACGTATCGCGCAGGCTTCATTTATAACCGGACGATCTTGAAGGTAGTGAAATATCAACAATCCGATAGAATCATCAACGGGGATGCGGTGAGACATTTTGCAACGTTTGCCCACGTTGAGACTGAAGAAGCCGCTGGTGGTTCAATTTGCGGGCTATCTACATTCTTGAGGACTTGTAAATTTACCATCTCAAATCCACCATCGATGGTTCCTCAATCTGGCCACGGAATGCATCAACCTCAACAATCAGGGCAAAGGAGCGAACGGATTAGTCAGGAGACCACGGTAAATAACGTTTGACGCAATGACTGATTCCTGGGACGCAGCAGTCGCTTTACCATAAAACTAGCACCAGTCTGGCTTGCCTTGCCTACGATTCTATTTATCCTGGTAGCTTCCCTCGCCAGTATTGCACCCCTCCAGCGCGATGTGTTCAATTGGGACCGCCTCACCTTCGTCGTCAGCCCCAATGTCGCGGCCTTCGGTATGTCATCGCCTGAGCCAGTCAACTGATTCTAACCTAATTTACGACTTAAAGCCATTCACTGGCCCCTCAAGCGTCGTAATGCTGGAAGACCGGCCCAGAAGCCCCACGGCGAAACTCACGCGGTTTGCACCCGACCGCCGAGATTGGGTGCTCTTCGACACCGCCCAGGAGAACGAATTTTTATCGTGGTGGCTGGAGACCGACTATGGACAACAGCTGACCAAAAGTGGAAAATACAAATTCAGATGGTCGGTTGAATCGCGTTCCTCAAAGGCGTGGAAGCACTTTGACCAGGTGGCAGAGCTCAGGTCTGGTCGACCCAAGGTAGTTTGCCGGTCTTGCCTCACGCCGCTTAATCACCCACATCACCCACATCACAAATCCCATGGAACAAGCACAATAGGTAAGCACCTGAAATCCAACTCTTGTCGCAGAAGCAAGGAGACGGTGTCCATTTCTGCTGTTACGCCAGGCCCAATCCAGGCGGCTCGTGCAAGCTTCTCGCCCATGAGGAGCCGATTTACCAAGGCACAGCTCGAAGATCAGCTTCTGCGGACAATCACGTCTGCAAACCTTTCTTTTGAGCTCACGGAAGAACCCACATTCCGAGAATTGTTGGATCAAGTCTATGCCGGACCTCAAGTTTTGGATATTCCCTCATCAAAGCAACTCCACCAGCATATGCACGACATGGTAACCACCTACGAAGAGTCACAGCTGCAGGATCTGCCCGGCGATTCCAAAGTATCGCTTGCTTTGTGCTGTTGGAAAAGTCCACTCGGGCAGGATTTCATGGCTATTACTGCGTATTACTTTGACAAAAAGTGGAGCTACCGAGAGGTGCTGCTTGGATTCGAACTACTTTGCAGGCCCGAGACAGGGACTGATCCCGGTGATCAAATACTTAGACTGATCATGAATAAAGGGCTGCTTAGGCGGATATTCAGCGTGACAATCGACTATAGGGTCGACGAGAAACTGGTGCTGTCATTACAAGAGAAACTCACTTCTTCTGGTGGTATCAGCTCTTGGCAGTGCTTTGTTGGGGTTCCTGGAACAGTGCAGGCCATCCAGCTCTGTCTTCGGCGGTATATCGAAAACATCACAAGCTCCCCAGGAGGGGAGCAGATGGAGAATGTCCGCACAATACCACACGTCAATGCTTGGGCCGACCCATCAGATGGCAACGAAATAACGCGCGTTTTGGAAAAGGTAATTGCAATCCGTCCTCTTGACTAGAAAAAAATCTGACCCTTGCATTTTGCAGATTCGATCATTTGCAAAATATGTCAACGAGACCCCTCGGAAACGCGATGAGTTCTTGTGTCTTCAGCCTGCACGGATTCGTCTTTTGCCGTTAGATGATGAGAACACCCGATGGAACTCGGTCTTTCTGATGTTGAAGCGAGCCAGCAGACTGCGAAGATTTATCGACCAATACTGCCAAGAGAGCGGGAATTGTCCGTACAAATTAACGAATACGGATTGGCGCAAGGTCGACTACCTTGGGCAGCTGACAATGCCGTTCATCCAGTTCACTACGGCCCTCCTGGCCTCGAAAGAGGCGACAGTCCACAAGGTCTGTTTCGTGTTCAAGATGCTAATGGAGCATCTCGACGAGTCAATCCAGATATTGAGAAGAAAATCAGCTCCGTGGAAGCGCGAATTACTTGAGGCGTCGCTTATCATGAAGATGGAATTTGGAGAAGTCTACGAAAAGACATTTCAAAACTTTGGGGTCATGTATGGCCCTGGAACTTTCGTTGCTCCCCAATATAAGGTGTCCGCGTTCGACGAGGTCACATCATCGCAAGGCTTGGGCCGTTCCCAATGCTATATCGAGTACCTGAGGATCTTTCACCTACAGTACCGACCGGAAATGCCCACGAGCTTGTCTTGCGTGAATGGACTGTCTTGCTCTCCGCAGTTGTTGGGACTCGACCGGCTTCTGCACCCACTAGCTGGTCTGGCGGGTAGTTCAAGGAATGGGCAAGATGAAGTTGATCAATATCTCCGCGAAGGTCTGAAAAACTGCTCAGTGTTTTGCACGTTGACTACTGACACACAACAGGGGTTGTCAATATCTCGCCAAGCGCTTACTGGAAAGACCATCAACGCAAATGGCCTGTTCTCACTCGACTGGCTCGAGATCTACTCTCCATTCCGGCTACAGGAGCTGGCGCGGAACGACTTTTCACCGTTGCACAAAATATATATTATACTCGTGGGGGATCTCTGGATGAGTCGACCATGCGAGACCTGGTGATGTATGCGTACTCGGAGGGATCCGAATCAGGGAAGCAACTGATCAGCCAAGTGGAACGTGACACGGCAAGTGACGAAGAATGGGAGGAGTTCAAAGCAGAGGCAGAAAGGCCTGAACCGATCAGCGATGACGAGTGGGGTTCAGCCGAGATGAGTGTTGACGAGCGCTCTGAGGACAACGAAAACAGCCAGGCAGACACAGTGATTTTGGAAAGCCCACCGACAGATGATCTGGAGCAGGATCTGGCGGATAAAGGCGAAGACTCATTCCTGCTTCCGCCTGTCACGTGGCTCATCAATAGCATCCGAAGAAGATTCTCAGGCGGAACGACAGTGACCCAGTAGCGTGCGTCATCATTTTTGTCCAGTAATAATCTGCTAGAATTTATCTAGCCTGCGAGAATAGCGCACACGTTAGAAATCGATTGTCGTTAATTGACAACAAGCTGCGCCCTCTTTAAAGGAGAAAATGTCGGATCAATTGATCTTGTGCAAACCGCATATGGACGGCCCTTCAAGTCACAGTTATGACATTTAGCGCTGCTAGCCTGGTTGCGAGTTCTGACAGAGGGGCGTTAGGATGCGATTGGTCGACACCCATCCCCATCACGGACCATCACGGACCATCACAGTTGCACAGTAACGGTAGCCTAATACTGTACCGAACCAAGCAGGGAGTCGAGCTCTATAGCAGCCCTCACTCAGATCCTACATTACGGTTCTGACATGCGAGACAAAGCAACTGTCTCAGGCACGTTGGCGTAGGGAGGTTGACAAGGACTCTGATTTACTTGTAGCTCTCTTAGTGTGTATAACCATGTTCATTTGCCTTTACCACCATATATACTATAAACATAGCGTTAGTAAAACTCGCTAATTTGATTGCTCCTCACAACGAAACCAGCCCACCAATAATTAGCGCTTAGATCCTCGGGCAATTGAAAGCCGGGCCGCGACCAACAATAGCAAAATTGTCAGTTTGAATACTCGTGAAGCTTAATCTCTGTATTGCTTTTGGTCACCAACCTGGGGCCGAGGTAGCTGCGGTTCACGTCAAGTCCCAGGGAAACGGGGCGGGCAATCGTCTGGCATGGAGCGCTTGAGGTTCATCTCTGTGTTTCCAGTTGATGTAGCGTTCCTCCTGCCTCTTCCAGCCTTCCCTGAGTTTGCTTTCTGCCAAATTCTTGCTGCCACACAAACGAGTAAAGTCATCTCTGGGTATCCAGGAACAATTTCCTTGAAGTAATCCCTGTTCCAAGGTGCCAGACCAAGTTTTCAGTCCAGCTGAGGTTTTGTCGTTCCTATTAGAGCAGAAGAGCTCGCCTTATGGCGCTGTTACTAGTGTTGAAAACTGGGTGGCGAAGACAAAGGCCGGGAGCCAACTGAAGAGAGAGGGCTCCTGGGTACAAGAAGGACGTTTAGAACTAGGATGAGAGGACACCCGCGCAATGGAGAGGCAATGGGGAATAACACCGCGACGACATTTGGTTTGTGGACAGAACTGACCAAACCTGTGTCACCATTTGGATGTTGATTTGTTGTTTGAGGCGCTTCACTATTTTTCTGGTTATTTCTTTGCCCTTTTAGGTACTTTGCTACCCTGCCAGTCTTTTTCTTGGCCCATCGATCTTAGGCCCCCACTCTTTCAGTTGTTCCCATACTTTCACTCCTTAATTTGAACACATTTATCAACCTGCAACCTGTATTAGCCAGTAGGCAATAGCTTGGAGTTCTGTCTGGCCAATGCTCGCGCTAAGAGAAGCTAGATCTCCGCGGATGAACTTGATGTTGACCACGGAGACCCTAATGTACTGGGCAAGACTCAAGCGCATATTCAAGATCGCGAAATAAGTTGATGTGGTTGCTACTTTTGGATGAGGTGGATGCATTCATGGAGCGTCCGATTGCCTCCCATGGAAGTCACAACCACCTTGTGACTGCCTTTTTTGCGAAACCTTGAATATTATGAAGGTTTCCCATCCTATTCTTGCCCGCCAGTCTGCAGCCCGAATCCTCCTGTCCCGTGATCTGACGGTACGGACGTCAACCGAGCCGACTAACGCTGTGGTCTGTGGTCTGACGGTCGTCATATGCAGGCAACTGTCGAGCTAGACAAGAGCTTTTGCTTGCTTTCCCCCCGCCGACGTGACGACCACGCCAGGTATTGCCAGAAGTTAATTCAAGAACCCGACGGCGCTTCAACCATTTCACATCCTCCAAGTCAATGACAATTAACTGGCCACCGAGGTCATCCCACAACATATTGCGCCACTCACTGTCGTTGTGCGCAATTCCGTGCGACCGGAGCACGGTCAGAGCTTTCTTGCGCTCCTGATTGAAGAAACTGGAATTCTCGTCATTAATCATATGCTGAAGTCGCGTTCCTGACCAGCTCAAGACCATCATCTGAACCATTAATTCACCATGGTACCAATACGGGACCCGTGGCTGAAAGGATCCAAGACAGACGGGGATCTGATTTCCTTGCAAGCTCCTGAGGTGACGATAATTGTTCGCCTCCCTTTGAAGGCGATGCTGCTTCTCCACTGTGGTAGCTTTAATGACCACAGTGTATCCATGCAGTGTATCCATGTGATAGAAGGGTAGCTTTGACGAGGTAACCCGTCCGACCACAGACGTGGACTTGTTCAAACCCATGGTTTCGGTTCCCGGCAAGTTGACGGTGAAGCCGGAATGTGAACTCCTGCGGCCCTATGGAGTGTCTCCGTCCACCGTGGAGTTTCCAGTTGGGGCATTCTTTATCCAGAGGGTCTCGGTTGACCATGCCGCGGATGCAGAGATGGTGGGGTCTGTATGCAACCCGCGCATGTTGCACTGAATCCACGTGTTGGATGAAACTTTGTATCGCCCGCCTAGGGACGTGTCGTGCTTTGGCTTGACTATGAATGTGGGGATAGGACTGGACAGACGCAACGTTTCTTTGATGCATGCATCAAGGTAGATCAAACTTGGTAGGTGATCAACGGTCAGGACCGAGTCTCCAACGACTTTGTCAACCTCTTGCTGCGCCTTGATAAATGTCTCGGGGTACTTGAGCAAGTTATAATAGAGGAAGCATAGTTTAGCACTGGTTGTCTCGTGACCGGCAACCTACTCATGTTAGCCACTGCGGCTCAAACTGAAAGTGGTATCTTCAGTTGAATTGTCTGACTCACAAGGAATGTCACTAGATTGAAACGAATGTTTTCATCCGAAAGTCTTTCACCAGTTTCTCGGTCGGCCGTCAACAACATTGTGTTCAGTAGATCCTTGTTATTTGGCTGCGGGTGTGCTTTCCGATCTTTAACGATGTCGTCCGCCACAGCATGCATTTTGCAGATGTCTTCCTGGCGCTGATGCTCGCTCCAAGCCAACATTTGGTTGACAAACCCGGGTCTAAAAGCTCGCTTGCCAGACGCCAGCAAAACCCGGGCCATCTGTTCTGCGAATGGATGCGGCTGCTCACCATAGAACTCGTTGAATCTGAAACTGAAAGCACACAGACCGATTGTGTCAAATGCCAACCTGGTCAGATCGTCGGCCATGTCAATTTCATTCTGGGCACCAAGTCTATCCCACTTCTGGACCATTTGTGAGGAAATATCAAGCATATCGTCGAACATCTTGCGGGTACCGAGTGGTCCGAAAGCTGGAACTAACAGGCGATGGGCTTTCCCCCAATTTGTCTCGGAAGGGTACTAGTCAGTATCATAGTATATTAGTACGACCAAGCTATTCAAAAGCGAGAATTCATGAGCTTACAGCAGTGAACAGTCCATCACCAACCAAGGGTCGAAGCTCGGTAAGGGGCCCGCTCGGTAGTTTCTCGAATCGATCTTGGTCGCAAATCTCATTCACGTATTGCTGCGAAGAAACTACCACAATGTCCTCCGCCAGCTTCAGTTTGAAAATTGGTCCGTACAGATCGGCCATTTTCCAAATCGACTGGGAAGGAAAGCTTGCATCCATTTCTGGTATATGCCCGAAAAGCCCGAAGAAACGCTGATCAGGCCAGGGTATATCTTCTAGCTTGGAAGGGTCAAAATTGACATTGCTGCTAGGGCGAGACATGGTGAGCAAAATTGAGTGCACGCCGGGGAAGCAGAGGAGATGGGGGCCACGGAGAGGTTGTTCGACCAAGTTTCAAAGAGGGATGAATACTTCAACCTGATGTGCCCTTGATATCTTCATTTCCCTACCACCATTGGGATAGACTCTTATATGTCTATTTTCTTACACATTTTTTCCTCGGCCTTGCATCTTGGTGGGAAAGGACTTTAGACGGAGATCCATTTGTCCCGCCCCAAATGCACCTCAGCCGAGTAAATAACCGTTTACGACTTATGCAACGCAGATCGACTGATTTCTCACGGTACTAGCGCGTTGGTCTCTATTGTCTGAACAGCGTAACAAGCCTGAACCATCCATTGGATTGGGCCGACAATCTGACTAAGCGGAAGAAAGCGGGCCCTTGGCTTATCTTCCGGCCGATCTGCTGCGCCCACAACTTTAAAAACCAGACTAGTCAACGACTTCGGTCAAAAAACTCCGAAATTATGGCTGTAGGCATTGACGTTTCTCATGGGACCGAGCATGATTAGTCCCGCGGCTACTATCTGTTGGGCCTGCGGGGACTTTAGAAGTTGTAGTCCCTCTGACAGCCTGCGCGTAAGAACTTTAACGGGACTATGTGGGACTCCAAGCTAAGAATATTTTACGGTTCCAATTGATGAATATGTTCAGAAATAAGCTGGAAGTATTCCTATTGAATTGAGGTACGTATCATGTAAGCACTGGTTTAGACTCAAATAGCTACCTATATTTTTAAGTCAAGGTTACTCACGTCGAATCTCCATCTATTGGAATTCTACAGACCCCGTCGGAATTGGCACTTTTTGACAGATTCCCGGTCAGGGTACTGCCTCAACTTGTGTTGTGATCATAGATATGCATGTGATTATCAGGAATTTCAAAGCTACTGAAAGGGAGACCCTCTTTATCGGACTGAATCTTACCAAGGCCCGAACCATGACGCGGTATAAGCGGACTGCCAAGAGGCCCAGCTGCAACCCAATGGGGAGATAAGCCCCGCGTGGTTAGGGGAGTGGGATCTACTTATACTTATTTTCCAGTTGAGCTGAGTTATGTTCTACTGGGATAATTTGAGTGGATTTGTACTAAATATGTGTTCGATAATGTGTAAAATAAGTCATGGTTATGCCTCGAACTTAAGACAGAGTGGACTGATTGTTCCCAAATAGTCCAGCCAGTCTCTTAGTAGCCTTGGCCAAGTCGAGTTTAGAATCGCACGCTGCAAATACGAACCGGTCCATTCTCACAATGACATATCGCTTCCCATCCACACTCTTCCACATGAGCGTCTCATCATAACCCCGGGGTATCGGACGACCAGCACATAGTGCGGACTGAGCGAACTCCTCGCCCGTGGCGGTGCGATATACCCGGTACCGCAATGTATCCGATGACTTGTCGACGGGCAAAGTGATGTATGTTGTACGAGGCACGAAGAAAGTAGCATCATCCGTAGACAGCAGGCCCGTGTCATTGATCTCTTCAATGTCTTCCAGGGCGGCGTCCATCTCATGAAGACGATCCAGTAAGACGACAAGTTGGAACATTTTCCGGCTCGAAAAAATCACATCGTCCGTAAACCGTACGTTTCCATGTGGTCGTAATGAGATGCAGTATGTCTGCGGAAAACACAGTCCACCGTCGAGCTCTGGCATGAATGGCATCCCCTCCGAGTGAATGTACCGAGTAGGACCACTACCTCGCGGGCCTTTCTCAAGCCAATGCTTCCAGCTGGGAATGAGTTGCAGGAACCACAGGCCCCAGTTGCGAATCAAGATGTGCACGAGACTCTTTCCGTTGACCATATCTCCATTTCGGACAGTAGAGGCGAGCGATTTATCAAGTTGTTGTTTGCGTTCCAGATCCCGCCGGAAAGCAACTGCTCATGGTCAACCTCGGAGGATGAGCATGCTATAGCAAGGCGCCAGACGAGAGAAATGGCGTCTCGAAATCCAGATGTGATGCCTTGTCCTCCGACTGAAAAATATGTTTAGTCCCATGAAATATCAAGAATGAATCACACTTACATGGCGGAAATACGTGGGCTGCATCGCCACAGATAATAACCCGTCCGAGAGCCCATTTGTTACAGCTTCTGGCGGAAAACTTGAAGGGTCTTGATCGCAAAACCTCAATACAATCCTCTGGATACTCAACGTCCTGGGAAAGTCTAGTCATGTCAGTACAATCACCTCATGTACAGATTTTACCTTGTCTCAGGACTTACCCATACCGGCTACCACAATGTGTCAGGTAAGGATAAACACATTCTCGGACCTTTTCCCACCCAGCCATTTCTATACCATTCTCGCCAGGAGCAATGACAAACTCAAAGCGCCAGAGCCGGTCTTCCGGGCGCCCAAATCGGCCACATACCGCCGAACGGCTGGGATTACAGAGGAAGCGGAAATCAGCCGGGAAGAACAGGTCGTATACCTCTTCGGGTGTATATCCAAGATCCCACAGTGGAAAAGAAGGGTGTGTTTCTTTTGTCGGGAGGTGCATATGCCAGTTGAGTGCTACCCAGGTCTCTTCATATCTGTATCTGGATCACAGCCATTAGATCACGTTACCGTAAAGTTCTATTGCATAAATTCCTTACTGCTCGGCCCATTCTAACTTAACCCCCTTGGGCTCCAGGTACATCTTGCGAGTAAAACCCGTCTTGCCATCTGCCGCAGCCAGGAATTTTGATCGGATCTTTTTATATGCGCCTGATTCATCAGTGTATGTTGCGTATACCCAGTCCACATCCTCGGTGATGGAAGTCAACGTGCAGCTACCCCTCAGCTGAGAGATCTTGGTTTGCTCCACGGCTACTCGAAGATACTTCTCCAGAACTGGCTGCTTGTGAGCAAGCACGCCGACATGGCCAGTATTTCCTTCGCTCTGAGAGATGTCAGTGGTTTCTAGTTGATATAGGGATAGAGTTGCACTCACGGAAGCTGTGTCGAATTGAAGGAATGGCTTGGCTTGGAGGTTGTGGTGCGTGCCGCTGACAAATTGAATCTTGGACATATCTGGATAATAAATATTAGATCCATGTTTGGGCCGTGGAGGATGCCTCTCTTTTTACTCACTGGATCCAATCTCCGTGAAGAGGTGTTCATACAGTCCAAGACCTTGCATCAGTCGAATTCCATCGTCGTCGACAACGACCCCACGAGGATCAGTGGTGATAGTCGATTCTTTCTCAAGCGCGATGTTAGGAACACCCAGTCTCCCCAGATACGCCGACAGCATGGCTCCCGTGGGGCCGCAACCACAAATTAAAACGTCTATGGTCTCCCACTCATCTTGACAATTCATTTTGCCAAATCTCTGTACTCAGTAGTAATACTGGAGGAACTGCGTATTGAAATAGAAAAATAGAGAAATGGATTACCAAGGTAAAAGTTTGGTCCCTAAAAATAGCTAGCTGCAAAAGATGTTCTAGGTTTCTCTTATTCGGCGGGGAAGCCAAGATGTGGGAACAATGTGTTCAGTAGGTACAGTTAGGCCCCTCTCTCACGCCGTGGATGCATTGTTTGCCTTCCGGTGTTATCTTAGGATCAGACTAGTCGTATAATACGGAATACCCGTTCATCAATGTTCGACAGCTCTAGTGGCAATAACTAGAATACGGATGTACGGCATTCCATATATCCGTCATTCGGATATGCCAGTCATAGACTTACGAAGCTTTGATTGTAAGTTCTAGAACCAATGTTATCTGTGAACAACTATCTCGCCTTTTGAGCTATGTGGGGGGGCCATTCCTTACATCTCCCAAGAAAGCAGCCTCCACACATTGCCGCAGCTCCCCAACCCGTATTTGCCGGCTAGTCAGCCCCCTCCCGTAGTGAGTACACTTAGCCAAGTTAGTCATGATTGTTCGCGCGCGCGGAGAGATGATGGGATATTGGATCATACACCAAAAAAGCATTGGATTCTGTCGCTCAAAGACTTCCAGAGGAGTGGTGAATACGGACTTGTAGGTTGGAGAGTAGATCTCACGACTACATTTCACTATCAACGGGGTTGAGTCGTTCTCCTTGTATCTTTCGATAAAGTCCACCAGTCGCTCAATGTCGCCATAGGGCAATTGTGGGTTACTGAGTGAAACGAGATCGATTGGCGTCCCCTCATCGCCAATGGGATTGAATCGGTGATATTGCCTTTCTATATCCGACCACGTAACGTGGAACTTGCGGAACATAAAAGTGCATATCACTCTTTGTCAGCGTGCCCTACAAATTTGTCAATTCTTTAGGTTTTTAGTTAGAGAGTTTGATATTACCATTCTGGAACCATTACAATACTGGTTACATTTTTCTGTCAATAAGCACTGGGCGTGTTGACAAACGCGGGGCAATCCACACAAGATATGTGACTTGCCAGTCTTACCTTGCAGCGAGTCGTTCTCGTTCCCGTAATGCGAGTGAGCAAGCGAATGGTGGCGAAGGTGCTCGCTGTGACTCTACATGTTCCGCGAAGTTGTCAGCAACGGGATAAAGCAACTGGAACTTCAAAAAACATTCCACTTATACTGGTCATCATGGCCTAGTCCATGGACTCTAAAGTCTGGATGGCAACCTTGAAATCATCAAGCAGATTGTCGCAACGGTCAGAAGAATCTTAACCAGCATGTTTAGCGCTAATTCATTTTCGAAATCCAGCGAACCAGCCAGTAGTTTTTGGCTAAGGTCTAATGGTGTCCAGCACTTGCAAGGATGAAACGGCCGCGTTGTACTTTTGAACGATCAGGATTTCATTTCTTGCTAAGCTTGCTCCAAAATTCCTCTGCGAGAGATGGCATCGATAACGACAGGCCGACCAAGTTGGCCAGCAGTGGTATGAAACAGCCGTCCGCAACCAGGCGCGAGTACCATATGACTCTAGAATTGCCTCTCCATCCATTGTGCATCCGGGCCAGCGTCAGACATCATCAGCCTCCAGGCGACGCCCTGCGGAATCAGACAAGACCCGCCGGTGCCCCTGTCAATCAGCTCCGAGCCAGTGCAATCAATCAATTCCTTTGTCACTGCGGCAATGCTGCGGACCAACAGTGTCCCAGGGCACGTTTCTCCGGCTCGACCAGCTATCCTGACATCGGTCGCTAATATCTGGGCGGGTGTCCAAGACTTGACGCTCGAGATTTTCACCCCGAGCGAAGAGGTCGACAGCATCCACTGTGTGTTCTGCCTGACCGACGATGAAGAGCATGCGAATGAGCGCGTGATCTTGCGCTGCCGTCAGTGCACATCGCTCTGTCATCTATCCTGCGCAGAAGAGTGGTTGGAAAGGCGAGATACAGGTTTTAGCACATCATGCTGTGTGTGGTAAGTGTGGATGACCTTATTTCTGCGACGACTAAGATACTGATGACCACAGTCGAAACGAAGGAGCCCTAGACGCCTTCATTCGCCCTTTACGAATCCCGCCGTCGGATGCCGAGACCCATTCCGTCCACACACTTCACCGGGATGCCGCTGACTAATATTCAGGAAGATCTTCGGATAATTGGCGCACTCAATACACACCCTCCAAGCAGAACGGCGCCAAGCGAGAGCCGAACAGGAGCTAGTCGCCATACGCGAATCGCTCAGCAAATCTAGGAACGAGTTGGAGGAAATAGTCCGGCTGACCGAGCTTCTTTATGAGGTCAATCGGCGAATGGGACCCATGATGGACTACCTATTCAAAGAGCATGGGATCAAACATGGGAATGAGGACGCCCAATCATTTGATTTTTTGTTTGGATTGGTGGTGAAGCGACTGGAGGCGGATGAGTCGGGGGAGCCTCCAAAGTGCGACCATGAAGGTGGAGATCTCACCGGCAGCCCTGTCTCCGCACCTGCAGAGCTGAGCGGTGGGAGAGGTGTAAATTGATGCAACCTCGGTGCGGGTCTTTAGTAAACAGTCGTTCTTCCTACGTTTCTGGTGTTTAGGTATGATCCCCACTCAACATAGGTCCCGCAAATATGACAGCTCCTTGTGTAAGCCAGCGGGACCTTCCTAAGACGCCACCTTGGAGTGCGGGGTTAGACTTTTGGAGTCCACAGTAGAGAGATATCGCGCTTGGGATAAAAGAAGCTTGTACATGACCATGCCAATTGCGTGAAACGGTGCAACACGCGCAAACAACATGGCCTCTCTTCATAGTCAAGCTTCAGACATTATGGGAGATTCTTTACCGTTCTCCAGCCGTTTCCAAAGCTGGACATTGCTTGTTGTTGTATTTCTTCTATTATACACAGTTATTTCATCCGTCGTCACCTCTCTTAGACCAGGCCTGAGGTCCATCCCCGGTCCCATCATCGCACGGTTCTCGCCTTTCTATCGCCCATGGAAGATCGCCAAAGGGGATGCGCCGGATTTTTATTTGAGACTTCACAGAAAATATGGCCAAATCGTTCGGACGGGTCCAAGGACTGTGAATCTCGCGGATCCAAGGGCTCTACCTATTATATACGGCATTAGCAGCAAATTCCTAAAGGTAAAGACCACTCAACCAATCAACGTCCGATCTAACTTTTCTTTCCAGTCCCCATTCTACGATACATTCAGCCCGTCTTACAAAGGTGAGACAATGCCTAGCATGTTCTCTGTTCGTGACCCGGTTGAGCACCAGGCATTGCGCCGACCGGTTGCGCAGAAGTTTTCCATGTCATCAATCAAATCCTTTGAGCCATTTGCGGATGAGTGCACGAGGATATTTATCGATGCGATGCGAGACTTGGAAGGTCAATGTGTGGATCTGGGTGTATGGCTGCAGTGGTATGCCTTTGATGTCATCGGGGCAATCACGTTCCAGCGCCGGTTTGGTTTTATGGAAAAGCGAAAAGATATTGAAGGTATGATTGGGGCTCTAGACAACGGGCTTAAGTATGCTGGCATTGTCAGCCAGGTACCTGCTCTGCATCACTGGCTCATGGGGAACCGATGGGTTGCGAAGTTCCTGTCTGCGCAGCCGTTTGTAGAAGTTCGTGATCCTCTACGGTTGATTGTGCGGGTGAGTTTATTGTTACTTCTAAACCTTTGTTGAATTGGTTGTTCTGACAATCTCGCAGTTTACCCAGCAATGTATCGATGACTATGATCGCAAGCCGGTGGATCACGGTGATCGTCCGGACTTTCTTGCTTGGCTGCGAGGAGAAGAAGCGAAAGGCAAGCCTATGCCAAATCGAGATATGATCAATCACCTGAGCAACAATCTGTAAGACTCTTTATCTCTTTCGTGTCATGCAGTATTGCTTACAATACTGCCTTGTCAGACTTGCAGGGAGTGACACGACTGGGGTGTCGCTTCGAGCGATTATCTACTTCCTAATCAAAAACGTACCAGTATATCGAAAGCTCCAGAGAGAAATTGACGATGCGGATCAGGCAGGCAAGCTGTCTGATTACATTACTTATGCCGAATGCCTTGAGCTCCCTTATTTGTAAGCTGTGATTTTGTTTCCGATTTCCCACTCCCATTCTGACGATTTCCAGACAAGCCGTGGTAAAAGAAGCGATGCGCTGTCACCCCGGAGTGCAATTCCCTTTGGAGAGAGTAGTTCCAAAGGGCGGAACCACCCTTTGTGGTGTACATCTCGATGCAGGGACCATCGTCGGAATGAACGCGACAGTGATGCACCACGACACCAACATATTTGGAGGGGACGCGGGTGCTTTCCGACCGGAGCGATGGACAGAATCTGACGATGAGCATACTAAACTGATGGATCGTCATTTAATGACAGTGAGTTTTTGTTTCGTGTGCCTCCGGTTTTCCCATAGACTAACAATAACTATAGTTCGGGTATGGGTCTCGAACATGCATTGGAAAGAATATCTCGATTATGGAGATGGGCAAATTGGTTCCGCAGATCATCCGACACTTTGAGCTTGAATGGGCTTCTGATACCCCCGGGTGGCGCGTAGAGACATTCTGGTTTGCCAAGCAGCATGGCTTGAAGTGCCGTCTTCGGTCGCGGGCGAAGTGAAGTGGTCGATAAAATGTATACTATGCACCGGGAAAAAGCGGCCCGGCTTTCAATGGGGCTACCTGAGCGAGCCTCGGAAAAATTCCTCGATGCTATGTTTTTCTTTGTGAACAAAGATGATGTGGTCAGTTTGGTAGGATATTAGCCATCAGTTACGATGGCTTAAATGAAGCCAGGGATACTTTTAGTTCAATAGTGACCGAAACTAGTATACTCATTGAAGAGAAATCCCAAATTTCTACGTAAGCTCTAGCAGGTCTTTGCACGGGCTTCTATTTCACCAAAAGAGCATATCATGTAATCGACGCCACCGATCCTCAGCTCGCTGAATATAGGTTCGGTATCTACATAAAGACCTTCGCAGAGATATACAACCTCCCGCCCTAACAACATTGTAGTACTGACCGCCATTCGCAGTCGCAGCAGAAAAATTGCCACCCAAGGATCATGTCCGTCTTGCCACTAGGAAATAATACAGTGGGGCGGATTTAGGCATTACCGAGGTTACGGAGTCGGCGATCAATAGAATCCGGCATCAATGCAGTTGAATCACTGCAATGCTTCCTTGCACGCGAGGGGTACCTTCGGTGGTGCTCGGCGTCGCTCCTTGTATTTCTGACCTGGTGGGGTCGGCCCAACCTCGTGCTTCTTCGAATGTTTGATGTGTACTTTGATTGCCGACCAGCGCTGTCAAGGCGATCAACGACCAGCTGGTCGAACGTACACTTGGCTGCCCTATCCACGTCGAAGCGGCCCGTGGTAGCTTTGTCGCCCCATTCATCTAGCACGACCTGGGGTGGGATTTCTGTTTGGACAAGGGTGATTTTAATATATGTCTCCGAAGTACAGTCATGTCTACCCTGGTGTTAGATAGGCCATCTGGCGCGCTCCGGAGTATCTGCCCTATAAATTGGTGTTCAACATCAACTACCTAAAGGCTGAGCAGGCCAGCGTTACTCTGAATTTCTCCTATGGAAAAGCACGGATCCACCAGTCCGTAGCTGAGAGTAGTAACCCAAGAAAAAGCCATAGAGACAAGCGGAATCCATCGACTCGATCGACGCATATTCTCATACGCATGTTACGGATATAACAATCTAGAACAAAATCCAGATCAAGATACACAACGCATCACCTTTTGAGAGATTTTCCAAGGGTGCTACTCATTTTATTGGCCATAACTGTCAGTGCTGATCCGCCCGAGTAAGCACGACTACCGCTAGATTATGAACAACCTCACCCACGTCAGTGACTAATGGCATCAGATCTCCAGAAGATGGGCATGATCATCCAGAGTCGGACCAATGGCCGTGGTCCGCCGCTGGTTGCCTTCCGTCTTCTCCCGAAAACCGAACGTGTGTATGATGGATTTGCCGTGACACACCAGCTGCGTGAGCGTGGCTGGATTGTGCCTGTGTATACAATCGCACCCCACAGTGATATCCTGCAGCCGATACGTTTTCATGCGTGAGGGCTTCAGCATGGGTCGGTAGATGCTGTCAAACGGCTTCTCGGACAAAGGGGTCTGGATTTAGACATTCAGAACCGGAAAGGCTATACGCCGCTCCATCTCGCCATTCAAAGCAAACGACTGGAAATGGTCAATTTGCTCCTAAGTCACTCCCGTGTCAACGTGAACTGCACAGACAAAGATGGAAATACGCCACTTTGGATGTCTACTTACTCGTCATGCGACGAGATAACCGAAAGGCTGTTGGCCGAGAAAGACATTAACGTTAATTTTGTTGGAGGCCGTGGGAGATTTGAGACGCCGTCCACATCTCTACACCACGCCGCGACCAGACTGGATACCGTGATACTACGACAGCTGCTTGCAGTGCCAAGGATCGACCCGAATCTCTGCGTTGCAGGCCACTCTCCAATTTCCGTTGCCGCATATCACGGACGCATGAACACGGTTGCTTGTCTGTTGGGCATGGAGGGCGTGGAGATTAATGGAAGGGTTTTAGTAGATCCGCCGATTTGTCGAGCGGTTGCATATGGCCATCTCGATGTAGTAAGACTATTAGTGCAGCATGGCGCACGTCTGCACATCAATGAGAGCACGATCGCGGCCCACGACACTGCTCTCTGCATTGCTGCCCGTGGCGGTGACTTGGAGATGGTCCAGGCACTACTACGCCATGATCGAATTGACGTCAACATTAGAAATCGATGGTTTGAGGATCCATTGATGTTGGCGGTCAAGGGTGGACATTTCTCGATTGTTGATGCACTTGTGGCAAATCCCGGACTCAAATACTTCAATTTAAAGAGATCCCTGGATATAGCAAGGGACGGTTGCATCAAGAGGGCCATTCGAAGCAGAATGGAAGACGACAACACTCCTCAAACGTTGTTGAAGCGGTCTCCGAGGAAGTTTGGTAGTTTGTAAAGCTAGCGTCATCTACACCTCTTATGATGCAATGCGAGAATGGCTATTTTCAGTGTCAGCTGATATCAACACTCGGAATCGATTATCTGCATCTCCACGCTCCGAAATTTTACAGTAAAACCCCAACGATTTCTACTTATTGTATAGCATTCAATGCATCAAAGATACACTTGCAAACTACCATTAAAAGGTATTTTCTACAAGTCTTATCTCAAGGCTTCGTCTGTTGCCCATTCTCACATTAAATTGAGTAACTTGGGGTGAGCAGCAGGTGAGATCGAGCGTCAATAGTTGAGGTACCCGTTCACTGACTCTTTTGAAGGTGGTCGAACTCAGGTCGGGACGGTCATGGGTGGCAATGACAGCAGCCTCAGTGTGACTGCCGGGCTATAAAAGACTCTTCTGTACCATGTCTCTTGCATTTCATTCCCCGAAGGCCACGATGGACCATCCCACTTCGCCTTGCCCATGTGACCGGCCAGCTAAGAGACAGTGCCGGGTTTCCCACGGCCCAGAAGATGAGAACAAGTTGCAAAGCCACCCACAGCAATCTTCAGATAGTGCAGCCATCGAAGCTGAGGTTGGTCAGGCCCTCTTCAATAGCAAACGAAGGAGATCACTAATACTGCATAGATTCCAGTGCGCACACCCGGTTCCCTTACAGCGGAGTTCATGAAGCTTCTACACTACAATGACACGCTCGCTAAACTGGCCCTCGAATTGCTCGACTGGTACTTTTGCCTGTGGGAATGCTACATCGTCAAATCTGCCGAGAAGATACGACTCAAGGAAGAGCAGCGACAGCTTCAAGAGTCAAATGAGTGGCTAGCAAGTGACAGCAATATCCTTTTGCAGATTTGCGATGGGCAAGCATTGATGTTGCGGGATCAAAAGCGAGCAGTTCAAGCACTTTGTAACGGCGTCGTTTCAGCCTTGCAAGCGAGCGATCCTCAAGCCTATCATGCTGATGGGCCGTGATGAGGTCTCGGCGTTGTCGAGCGCTTGTGGGCAAGAACGACATTTGGATAGTTATGCTATCTATTTGCCTTCTGTCCTAGATATCACCCCTCTTTTTAGAGGCGCATACAACAGCCGGTGAAGTTCCGTTGGGTTTGGTGACGGGGTGTAAACATTTCACGGCTGTTGATACATTCGACGCTTGATTTTCGAGAAGTTAGCATCTGGTCATCAAGTCCTCCTAATTTGCCACGAACTTGCGTTATCAAGATAAATAAAATTCCTGCTCAGCCTGCGGCATTCTCTCCCTCCCAACCCTCGTCAAATTGCTATTTTTTACACTTCTATATTTTACCACCAGCCTCCGACGGCGAGTCTTGAACAAAAATGCACGAATCGAACAAGAATGGTCTGTACCCGTTGTTTCAATGGTTGTTTTGTGCTAAAATTGGTAGACTGTGATTTGGATCTTGACCTTCACGCCATCTGGCAAGAGTGCTCTGGCATACCGACACCACCTCCCTGTCTCGCCACCGACTCCTATTATCCTCGGCAGATTCTCTCGAATGAGGGTGAGCCTGCAGGATATGAGTCTTCAAGGTCTTAATCAAATGCCTTTTCCACCCCACTTTTGACAAGCTGTCGGCCTTCAAGTGGACGGGTCTAGATCCTCTGTCCATGTATACTTAGGCCAGCGACATGTTCCTCTACATGCCAGCATTCGCTTCCCCTAAAGAAATGTAATGGATAGAGTTTCGACTAGTCTAATTTGACCGGAAATTTGGCGAGAGTATAGGAGAGCATCTGTTCTTCTTTCCCCGGTTTGAAACGGCCCTAGGGAATCTCTGTCGGATACGTGGCTAGTTGCTAGACACCATCTCCCGGCATGGTTTTGGTTCAATAGGCACTAGCTTCCGACTGCCCCTGTGGCCTCGTATGGAACGTCTACAATACTCGAGTCAATCGACACTTTCTCCGCTAGGTACGCTACCGAGGACACTGTCCCTGAATCCGCAGTTTTTGTGCATAATATATTGGGTGGTTACAAGTGAGACCGGTCTAGAACATGGGGGGTTGTTCGCAGACAGATGGAATATAAGCTGCTGTTCATGCTATAGTTCTCCTTCAATTACAACGTCATTGTAATATTTCTGCTTCTACACAATAGGAAGGATACCCCGAATAAACAATCCCTCACCCTCCTTTTGCGCTGTCCGGTAACCCTGTCAGATTGAGTCTCGAAGGGTGGTTCTAGTCATCGAGTACGCTGGTCAGTCGTTCCCGAGATGATTCTAGTCCCTATTCGAAAAAGCGCAGCCGGGATAGCTGTTTGTTATGGCGAACCTGAAGACCATCTCTCTCTTTTCTCAGGTGCGTACCAGCCTCCTTCAAAGTAAGGTTGTCCTGCTCCAGCTTCTGGCCATCGATGTGCTTGGACACGCACGACTCCCATAGGCGTCGATAGAGTCCAACAAGTCGAGCTGCTGGAAAAGCGAACTTGGGATCGTCGCGCTCGAGGTCTGATAGAACCTGCAAGATCGGTTGAAATGGCTCGGTCGCCAGGGTGTGTCTTGTTTCTGCTTCCTGCTGCGAAGGGGAGGGCTGCAATGGTCAGCAAAAGCATTTGAAGCCGAATCGTCATACATAC